CGTATCTGCCCTCTAGCAAAATTGCATAAGCAACATTTCCCTATTAGTCAGCATAGGTCACAAAAGTGCTTTGAATTAATCCACTGTGATCTGTGGGGATCCTGTAATGAAATAACTTATGATGGCTCTAGATATTTCCTTAGCATTGAAGACTATTTCAGTAGATGCACTTGGTTAATGTTGCTAAAATTTAAATATGATACTAGTGTTGCTTTACAGAACTTTTTCACGATGATTGAAAACCAATTTGACTCCAAAATCAAAGTGATTAGAACTAATAATGGAAACGAGTTTGAGATGAAGCATTTTTATTCTCAAAAGGGCGTTATCCACCAAAAATCTTGCGTAGAGACCCCTCAACAAAACGCTATAGTGGAGAGAAAACACCAGCATATTCTAAATGTTGCAAGGGCCCTTATGTTCCAAAACGGGATTCCAATGAAATACTGGTCTGACTATGCCTTCACAGCAGTCCACCTCATAAACAGAACCCTTTCTCTTGTCCTTAAGAACAAAACTCCTTTTGAACTTCTTTTCAAAATTAAGCGTATTTACTCTCACCTAAAGTCTTTAGCTGCTTGGCTTATGCTTCCACGCTCATACGGAATCGACATAAATTTGATGCTAGGGGCAGAAGATGCATGTTCTTAGGCTATCCTTTTGGAATCAAAGGCTACAAACTGCTAGATTTAGATACAAACAAAATCTTCATCTCTTGAAATGTTGTGTTTCATGAAGACATTTTCCCTTACAAAGACTTGAACCTTGTCGGTCATGCTACATTGCCAACCTTAACTGAAGAGTTCATTGACCAAGCATCAATCACTAATATAGACAATCTCACTAAACATATTTCCCCTACCCGTGACCAGATTCCAGAACCATTGAATCAACAACCTGATTCACTTGATCAGCCTGAAACCTTTATAGAGTCAGCTTAAAATATTTCCACAAATTCTAACTTACTTCGAAGGTTAAATAGAGACAGAAAACCACCTTCATATATGCAGGACTTTGTATGCCAACAAGTCTCTTCACTTCCCAATTCACAGCAGTCCAACAGTGAGGAAGGTCATCTTAGAACAGGTAGTCATTTTCCTTTATGTGCCACTTTATCATATGATAGATTATCTAATGCACATAAAGCTTTTGTTGCTTCCATAACAACTCACACAGAGCCCAAAACACACTAAGAAGCAGTTAATCACATGGAATGGCATGAAGCCATGAAGGCTGAGATCATTGCACTTGAGATAAATGACACTTGAGACCTTGCTGATTTGCCTCCTGGAAAGACTACCATAGGCTGCAAATGGGTCTATATGACTAAGTTTAATATAGATGGAAGTGTGGAATGATGCAAAGCCAAACTTGTAGCAAAATGGTACATACAACAAGAAGGGCTGGACTATCATGAAACATTTTCACCCGTTGCAAAGTTAGTGACGATGAGAACCTTGTTAGCTATTGCAGTAATCAAAGGGTGGTTCATTCACCAATTAGATGTGAACAACGCGTTCCTACATGGAGATTTAGATGAGGAGATGTATATGCAACTGCCTCCTGGATTTCCAAAGGCAATGGATTTATACGGGCTCAAGCAGGCCTCTAGACAATGGCATTCTAAACTCACCTCGTTCATCATTCAGCAAGGATTTCAGCAATCGAAATTCTATTATAGTCTGTTTACAAGGAGTACCAGAGACTCTTTCATAGCAATATTGGTTTACGTCGATGATATTATAATGGCAGGCAACAACATAGAGCTTATTGAAACTTTAAAAACATCACTTGATGCCAAGTTCGAAATCAAAGATCTGGGGGCACTAAAATATTTTCTTAGGATAGAAGTGGCACGATTAGAGAAAGAAATCCATATTTGCCAAAGGAAATATGCCTTAGATATCCTTGCTGATTCTGAAATCATTGGAGCGGTACCAGCCAAAATTCCATTAGATCAAAACTTGAAGCTGGCCAAAGATTAAGGCGACCTGCTACCTGATACATCTATCTATAGGAGACTTATTGGAAGGCTTCTCTATTTTACCATAACCAGACCCGACCTTGCATATTCAGCACAGCTCCTTAGCTAATATATGCAAACTCCCAGAGTTCTACACCTAAAAGCAGCTCATAAAGTACTAAAGAATATTAAACGTGCTCTTGGACATGGTCTATTCTACTCCTTCGCATCTAGCCTACATCTCAGATCCTATTGCGATTTAGATTGGGGACCATGCCCAAACACTAGGAAATCGATCACAGGATATTGTGTTTTTCTTGGGTCCTCTCTAATTTTTTGGAAGTCAAAGAAACAGAACACTATCTCTAGATCCTCTATAGAGGCTGAGTATATGGCCATGGCTAGTGTATGCTGTGAGCTGAGTTGGCTTAGATACTTGCTACATGACTTACAAATTGATCATCTTCAACCAACATCATTAGCTTGTGATAATCAAGCTGCTTTGCACATTACCGCCAATTCTGTTTTCCATGAAAGGACCAAACATATAGAGCTTGATTTTCATTTAGTTCGTGATAAAATTGAGGAAGGGAGCATCATTAGTGAACACGTAAGCAGCGATGCTCAAATTGCAGACATTCTAACAAAACCATTAGCTTCAGCACCCTTTTACTACCATCTATCTAAGATGGGAGTGGAAGACATCTACTCTCCATCTTGCTGGAGGCTGTTAAAATGTGACATCAAGATGAAGATGAGAGCTCACTGCCAGCAACCTCAAGAAGAAGATATGCCAGCAAGAATTCCAGCAAGGTAGACGGTAGCCCACATAATTGATACAACCAGCAATGCCAACTACTCATGAAGTTCTAGAAACATCACCTGAGGAAATTCCACCTCAATTCTATTATGAGTTGGATGAATTTTATTATCGAAACCAATTTGTACAGCACATGTATAGTTTGTTAGGAATATTCATTTTCTCCATTATATAAGGAAACTACTTGTATGATTTTATTCAATCAATTAATGAAAGTTGAACAGAGAGATTATTTTCTCTCGTCTAAACAATCCATTTTCTTATTTTGTGTGATTTATTATATTTCCCCTTCAATTCCATGGCACAGATCTTCAATATCATTTTTGCTCATCTAATCCAGAATATGTTTCAGTTTTCCTATAAAACGAAGCCGTGATTTTAGTTTCACACAAGAATCACAAGTTAGATTGGCAAACTGTATGGTGGTCCGTTGCACTTTGGCCTGATCCTTGACAATATGGGCATGGCTATTGGCCCTAATCTTATAACTGCTTGTAAGACCTCGTCCTCTTCCCTGTCTATCCAAGGAAGAGCCCTGAGGTACTGGATGCAACTAAAGAATAGCAAAGGCTGATTGAATACAAAAATCAAGAATCCAAAAGTGAGTCTTATGGAATATAGAGATGCTACAGTAAGTTTGACATAGTGATCATAATCAAAATCTGGGTAACAAATCCGTATACAAGCACAAGAACTTAGATTAGAAAGTTCATCGGCCAAAAACTTGCTTTCTCAAATGGAGAACATCTCCACTTGTACATTTGTCATCGAGTTCTGGTCTTCCTCTTATTTATCAAATGGAGAACATTACCACTTGTACATTCGTCACCGAGTTTATAATCATCACCTCCCCACATGTTCATCCATAAGTGAAACGAATACTCATCGACTCATGCCCCCCGGGGCACATCCCAACTGGCAAAGGACGGGGTTCTTAGTTGCTGGCAGTTCAGAGGTCGCGACTTCGATTCGTGGGGCTATTGGAAGGCAGGCTCTCTCGTGGAAGGCAAGATTTATCCTGGAAGGCAGGAGTTTTCCTGGAAGGTATGATGCAACATGTGTTGACTCGCTCAACACTGGCAGATCAGTGAAGGGGGCTCTTGGACCCTGACCAATTTGGGGCACATCCCGCGGTTTAATTGGTCTACATCTTGAGAGGCTAAGGCGTAGAGCCCAAGATTAGTCGCAAAATGTGGACACCTAGGTATAAAAAAAACTCACCGACTCACATGCTCGATGTAATTCATAGTATGCTCTTTCCAGTTGCCATGTCGCCAAGTAAGAAGATATAATATGTGCTCAAAAAATCTTTGCTTCAATGGAAAAAGATGGAGCACAAACTATCAAGCTCAAGAAACAACACAATTGATATAGATAAGGTGGAGTGATGCATTTGGACTAATAATTGCTAAACCGTGCGAATAACATACATCAATTCATAGCAATCAGAGTGTGCATATGCATGCTAGTGCGAAAAATGCAGGCAAAACTTCATGTCTAGCACACAACAGTGGTATAACTCGAATAATAGCATAGTAGATACCATTTTAAAGATAAATCACTACTAAAATAATTTCAGCAGATATTCATCAAATAGTAATAAGTGTACTCGCCCAAGAAAGATGATTAAGTGACCCTCATCTACATATCCATTAGATAGCACAAGCTTTTGATAATACAGCCATAATGTCTCTGTGTACGTGACTTTAATCTTAAATTCTAACAATATTGCGAATTTACGCTCAACTTGATTAAACAATATTGTAAACTTAATAGAAATTGAACATACTATCTATCAAAGTTTATATTGTCCCTGAAAGAAAACTCGTCTAACATATATGAAATGTGCTATATTTTATGTTATTAGTTATCAAAATGGAATAAAATTGAAACTAAAGCGATGAGGTCGAAGAGAAAATTTGGGTGGTTAAAATGAAACGAGATTGGGACATTGGGTCCTTGGGGTGAGTTCTAGGAATGGCAGTCTCGTGAATTCCATCATGACCAAGGACATCGATGATATTTCAAACCGACAATATTCTTGTTGGCGTCGATTACTAAACCATCGGACCCATAGCTCTCCATTTCATTCAACATTCAGATACAGAAAACAGTCTATCTACATCAATCTAATCCAATCCGCCATCAAACCTAATTTCCCCATTTCCCCGGATATTCACACCAATATATAGACATACAAATCAAAAAATTCAAGAAATGGGGGATGTTGCAGATAAATTGGCATATTTTCAAGCCATCACAGGAATCGAAGACCCCGATTTGTGTACGGAAATTCTCTCCGCCCATGGATGGGACCTCGAGCAAGCCATTTCTTCTATCACCTCCACCGACAACTATCGACCCACCGCCGCGTCCGGGTCCGCCACCGCAAATACAAATCCAGAAACTGAAGACACTGGATTAGTTCTGGCGGCGAACGGCAATAATCAACCCCCCGGCGTTGTCTGGAAATTGGTAAAGCTCCCGTTTTCTATGATTTCGGGAACTCTAGGGCTGATTTCTGGTGCAGTTGGGCTCGGTATATGGGCGGCGAGTGGAGTCTTGTCGTACTCGCTTAGTATGATCGGGCTCAATAATTCGGGCCGGGCTGGTACTACTCCGTTGACTCAGTCCACGTCAGAGGCTGTGGATTTTGTGTCGAGTTTTGAGAGGGATTATGGGAGGTTGAGACCGAATTTTGTGGCTGAGGGTTTCATGGACGCGTTGCAGAGGTCTAGGCATGAGTACAAGCTTTTGTTTGTTTACTTGCACTCGCCAGAGCATCCTGACACACCTGCATTCTGTGGAAGGACTTTGTGTGATGAGACATTGGCAGCGTTTGTCAATGAGAATTTTGTGGCCTGGGGTGGAAGCGTTAAGGCCAGTGAAGGATTTAAGATGAGTAATAGCTTGAAAGCTTCCAGGTTCCCCTTCTGTGCAGTGGTTATGACTGCCACAAACCAGAGGATTGCCCTGCTACAACAGGTATATAGTAAAATATCTGGCTTTAAACTTTGCTTATAACTTATTTTACGAATTTTAGTTAGTAGTTAGTAGGCTATACTTCTACTGAGATTTTGTTGGATAATGAGTTGTTTGTAGTTATGAAAGAAACTAGAAGTTGAGAATTTATAGAGATGGATGGGTTTAGTAAATAATTTTGATGTCCCTGCCCCCTTTTATGCATTGATAGGTGATACACTCTTTTTGAAATTTTAATGATGAGGATACTATTACGTGTTTATTTTATTTTATCTATGGATTTGGTATGTTCATTAAATGCACAAGAGAGCAATGGATTTTTGGAATTTGTATGCATGATTTGTATATATTCTGAAAATATAACCGAATGATTAAACCCAAGTACACTTAGAGAGGGGGTGCAATAATCAATCAATAAAAAATGACAAGTCACTTATTTATTGTTTCTAAATGATTAACTCTAATAGCTTCTCTCCAACTTAAGAACTCTAAAGGATTATTGGTAAAATGATTTGGTTTTTGGAGTTTGATCTTTTGTGTTTTGATGTTGTAGTTGATGGAAGAGCAATGTTTAAAAAGACGAAACTAAGTATTGAGACGGTTTTTCTTTATGAGGCGACGCGTTAGCCTCGAGGCGGATTGAGGCGTAAGTCTTACAAAAAACAAAAATATTAAGTGAAAGAATTATAAAATAATACAAAAAAACCAAAGTTGGAGCATATAGTAAATATGATAAATAACCATTAGCATATTGAGATATAATCCACCTAAAGAAAAAAAATGTTTAGAAAAAAAATATTACAGAAGTTAGAATTCACTTTATTTGCAATGGAAAAAAAAGAAGCAGTTTAAATTAAAAAAAAGCATAATAGTCTGCACTATCATCATTATTACTAGCATCGTTAATGGAATCATCATCATATCTAATTTCCCCATCATCTTCCTCTTTGCTACTTTCAATTTCTACAAAATCATCTTCCTCATCCACCAATTGCAATGTGACATTTTTCTTCCCTGTAAATTCAATAACAAGCAATCTGTTAATTTAATTTCATAAATAAAAGCAATTTTGAATTATGAAAGTATGAATACTTTTTCGTGAAAAAGTTCTTTTCCTAATAGGTTGACTTTGTGTACGCATAGAACTTTCAATCCCCTTTGATTGTGAAAAATTTAGACTCGAGTCGTCATCATTTACATCGCAAGTGTTTGATGGAGCTCCAATATCGTGATCTGCAATCCATTCATCATCAGATGGAACTTCCTTTAGAATCAAATGATCTTCACCCTCATTAAGTGATTTCAATCGCCTATGTCGATCTTTGAGCTTCTTTTTATAATTGATGTAAATCAAAGTATGCAATCTCTTTGTTGTCAAACGATTCATTCTCTTAGTATGTACTAAATTAAATGTACTCCAATTCCTTCTCTTAGTATGCACTAATTTTTGGCCGCCGTTTAGTGTTCTAGGTATTTTATTGTTTTGTTTGGGCCCAAATGCCTTTTTAAATGAGCTATTTTCTTTTTTAAGAAGGGCACTTTCTAAATCAAATTTTAAATGAGGCGCACACCTTCATATTTTTAGCCCAAAAATACCGCATCGAGGTATGCTACATGCGTCTCACTATCGCCTTCTTAAATCATGTGCAAGAGATTTATGGAATATGATTTTGATCTTCAAATGATGTTCTCTTGAATAAATAATTGATCAACACACACTTTTAGGACAGACTATGCTTGGATATTTATATTGTGAAGTGCTTGAGGTTGAATGGGACTCCAGAATCTGTTGAAAATTGCAACCTAGGGTTTGGCGAATATCACCGCTCGAGTGGTGGCATTGCGGATAGCTAGCGGTCTCATGTCCGCTCGAGCGCCCAAGGCGTGGACTGTGAGCGCCAGAGTTGCTAGATTTTTTGCTCGAGCACTCTATGTGAGGTCAACAAGCGGTTTTGCGGCTATTTTTTCTCTTTGTTCCATCTTCGACTTCTTGACTCCTTCAAGATGTATACTATCAACCCCTGACTCTTTCACTTTAATTACAACTCAATAACTGTGATTTTGGACATGGAACTAGCCAATAATACAATTTGACCCTAACATATTAAATTGTCTAAAAGAATTTTCATGAATACCTAGGCTAATTGTTTAAATATTTTTTTGTTTGGTCCAACCATTTGAAGTTTGTTTCACCTTTAATTTTTTTCACATTTGGATGTGGGGGATTTTGAAGTCATCTGTGACTTGTTGGTTTATGACTTCAATGATTGACATCACTGGCGATGACATTTTGTGATTTTTTAAAAATTTTTAGAGTGCTGCAAGTGTTTCATGCTTTGCTTGTCCGGTAATGAAACATGAACTATGATACACTTATTTTATATTTCAATGGCCTTTGAAGGAAGAATAGGGGTGGGCACAGACTGAACCCATTGAAAATGGGGTTTTATAGATGGCACAGTTCCATGTAAGGGTGGAACCGAAATGGGCCTTAACTGGATTCTAAAAAACCAAAGTTTTGTTTGGAAAAACAAAAACTAGTGCTACACATTCATTTTCCTTCACGTTCCCACAATGCAGTAAAAGGAAATATTGTTATCAGAAATCATATCATGTCTATGTCTGGAGAGAAATTGTTACTGCTGATAGTCTTGGAAGGAGAAAAAGGGTATGTATAAGTTGGTGTGTGATAAGTTTTTGCGTGGAAAGTGATTTAGAACAGAAAATCTTTGAATTACATCTATTTCTGCATCTGGAATGCTGTCTAGCCTTTAGGAGACATTCTTTGTGCTGATAGTCTTTGGAGTAAAAGGATTTGGATAAATTGGTGTTTTCATGTGCAAGGAGCCTGTGAGGATGCTGGCCATCTTGTATGCATTGCCAAGTGTCTGGAGACTTATAGCTTCATTGGTATCATTTAAAGGTTTCCTTTACTGCATCTTCTGGACCTTTTTGACAAGAGGAATTGGATGGCATTTCTGAAGTTTTCGTTCCATCTTCACTTGTATATTCTCGTGGATTGATTTTTTCTTTATCCTGTATTTAGCCCTTGTTTGATACACATTCTTAAGGAAAGAATGCATTTTAGATAGTGACGTGATCAAAAATATGTGATTAAAAAAGAAAGAAAAATTTTGTATTTGCGTTTAATATTATTTTATTGTAGATTGTGTTGTTGAAAATGAGTATTGAAAGAATGCATATTTTTAAACATGGTGTTATTTGTTAATTGTTAGATACCTTTGAGTCCTTAGATGGATGTTTTCTGGTGGATTTTTCATCTAAATTCATTATTCACTTAAACCTTGCAATAGGCAAATTAAGAGAATAAAAATTTGTCACTGTTTAGACATTCTGTGTTGTCCAACTTTATTGAATTATGCTCCTTTTAGACTCCTTGTGTACATGGAGTTTGACACTCCTTAGCAAATTCTAAAATGGAGTAGCGGGAAAGTGTGTCGTATTTACAAACTGGCCAATCGTGCTGCAACATGTGGTACAATGTCAAACTTGATGGCAAAAACAATGTACTTGTAGCATGATTGGACTTTATTATATACATTTGTCTCATATATTTGTACGTATATCTTGTGTGAGAAATTAGAAAATAAAAGATAAGAGGAGGTGTCTTAAATCATTTGGAACCTTAAGAAATTTATTCTATTACACAGTTATGGTATGCTAATTATAATATTGACTCGTTTCCCTTGCTGGCTTTAATTTTGCAGGTTGAGGGGTCAAAATCTCCTGAAGAACTGCTCACTATACTGCAGAGAGTGCTTGAAGAAAGTGCTCCTGTTCTTGTTTCATCCAGGCTTGAAGCAGAAGAAAGAAGAAACAACATGCGTTTGAGGGAGGAGCAGGATGCTGCCTACCGAGCAGCACTTGAAGCTGATCAAGTATGTAGCTCTTCAATTTATTTGGCCATAGCCATCAACTATGTGTCCTCATTCTCCCGACATTTTTATTTTTTATTTTTAGTAGTACATTTATTTAACAATATGTCCTACATTAGGCTAGAGAACGTCAGAGAAAAGAAGAACAAGAACGGTTGGAACGTGAAGCTGTTGAAGCTGAGAGGAAAAGGAAAGAGGAGGAAGAGGCTCGGGAAAGAGCTTCACGTGAAGCTGCTGAGAAAAAAGCTGCAATAGCTAAGATGCGTGAAGAGAAAGCTGCATCTCTAGGTGCAGAACCTGAGAAAGGACCGGATGTTACTCAAGTAAGTATTTAGTTCTAGATTAATTTCACTTATTTAAGACTATCAGAAAATAACCATTCTTTTTAATCTTTACTATGACGTGAAGTGCTTCCTACTATTACTTTGTAACCTCATTGTGTTTGGATTGATATGATGTAAAATATCTGTCTAATATTCCGTTGACCAATGGATCATTTCTATTCAAATTTAAAAGAAATAACTCGCTTGAAATTATTGCTAATGGTTCTTTCCAATTTGTTAGGTTTTGGTCCGTTTTCCAAATGGAGAGCGCAAGGAGAGAAGGTTTCATTCTACTGCAACAATACAAACACTATATGACTATGTTGATTCTTTGGGTTGCTTAGAAGTTGAGAGTTACAGCCTCGTATCCAACTTTCCTCGCACTGTCTATGGCCCTGACAAATTTTCTTCGTCCCTAAAGGAGGCAAAATTACATCCTCAGGCCAGCCTTTTCGTGGAGTCAAATTCGTGAGAAGAACGTGGACGAAATCTAGTAATCCAATACGAAAACTTTGTAGGATATTTCTATTGTTGTGTGTTTTTTCTGATAGATGCAGCAATGATACAATTAACGAGATTCTGCCTGTGCCCACATTGTTGATATTTGACATAATTGCATATTGAAGTTTACAAATGCTATAAATAAATGTACAAAATGCAGTGAAACGTATAGCTACCTCTACTGGGTTAAAAATTGTGCAGAATTCGGTGTTGGCTCACTGAATTCTTGAAAAACTGTGTTCTAAGAAATCATGTGAAAGTTCCATGTTTGAAATTAGATTTTCTTGGGACATGCGTAACGTAACGCTATGGGTATGTCATGCTAGATTGGATTGCAATGGCATAATCTTAAGTGAGAAAACAATGCTAAATATGTACTTTTTTTTCTTTTGACAGACACTTTACAATATTACTCGATAAAAATTAAAAGAAAAACTCCATAACAATGGTGAAATGAAAAGGAAAACACAAATATGAAATAAAAATTTATTCATTACTAAAAATGGCGTCGCCCGGACTCGAACCGGAGACCTTCAGTGTGTTAGACTGACGTGATAACCAACTACACCACGACACCTCGGCGCTTGGTTTTTACAATAAATAGAATATAAAATACTACCAAATTATATAATTGCACTCTTCTTTTCGACGCCAATCCAATTCTAATCTCTTTTTTAATTTGCAATTTACGGAACAAAATTTCCATGCATTCCTCAGAAAATCGTAACGAAAATCCTCTCTTAGTGATAATTCATCCCTAATTTTCCATTAATTTTGTCTATGTTTTTTAGAAGAATTTCTTCTGTTTTCAATTGTCAAAAGGTTTCGATTTGTAGGGTTTCATAATCTCATCCCTTAATTCTTTATTCTTCGTCCCAATTAACTTCTTTTTTTGTCCATTTTTATCAATTCCATCTTTTACAGTTCGCTTTTCTTTTCTATTTTTATTTTCGGGTATTGAAGAATTAAATGAGATGGCTAGGGTAATTGCAGGAAAAAAGAATTTGATTTCGAATTCTTCCATTTATTCACTGCAAGTGAATTTGTTTGGATGCCCATTCCAATTTGGGTCGGGCATCGATACATTTTCCATTGCTTGTGAAGCCTTCTCTGAAAATTTCCTTCTTTAACTAGAATCATATTGTACAGTTCAATTAGGTTTTCAATTTTTATTTATTTTTTCTGGATTATATAGTTTTTTGGATTTAAAATTGTTGTTATATTGTGTGGTGGAGTGAGAAATCGAAGATGGAACCTAATGAGTCTGATGTTGTAGAAATTTCCCCGGACAAGCGTTACATCCGGGTACATTCTTTTTACAAATAAATTAGGTTTGCTGTCTTGCATTGCTGTTCATTGTATTTTTAGTTGATTTGGTTATTTTTATGGAATAAGGATTAGTGTTTAGTGTTCTTGTTTTATTTTTCGAGTCGGTGCATTGAATTAGATTGTGTAAGCTAGGTATAAATTAGTAGAAACCTTTCCATAACGTTTTATGATGTTTCCGATTACTTTAATTTCAGTAAGTGGGCTTTAAATATGTAATGTTTTTATTTTCTGAACTATTACTATTTGCCGGTAAGTCCATAGCCAGCCTTTCTTGTTGTTTAGCAGAAGATATTTGTTAATCATTGATGAGATATGAATGATCAGTATGTACTCATATGCACATTTGTCCATGAAAAGGATAGTATTGATATGTGAGTTTATTATGTGTAATGATCTCTCTCTTTTGTTTCAAAATTACAGAAAGCATAATGTTGGGAAGCATCTTCTCTATTGGACCATCATGCCTGTTGAATTTGAGAATGGACATTTATTGTGTTTTATGATCATAATCCAAAAAGTTTATTTTAATGTATCTTTTCATGTCTAGAATTACTTTAAGGGTGTGTTTGATGGATATTATTGAGGAAAGAATGTATTTTAAAGAGTGATACGATGGGAAATATGTGGTTAAAAAGTAAGGAAAAGTTCTTGACGTAATGGAAAATATTATTTTATTGAAGAATGTGTGGTTGAACATGAATTAAGAAATAATGTATTTTGAAAGAATGTGTGTCAATGAGGGGCTAAGTGACATTTCTTGAATTCTGAATAGTTTAGAAATAGATGAGTATGTAATCCAATAGTAACTTTGGAGAATATGAATAATCTTCTTAAAAGTTAAGCTCCCCTGCAGCTTTACAATAAAATATCTACTAATGTGTGCACTTGCTTGTATGAAAAACTAATTCATACTACTGGCTTGTTATTTTATTTATTTCGACATATTGCTTAATTTATTGGGTGGTTGTGGTTTATTACCATTTTCTGTTTCTTTCTTCAGTATAATGAAATCCTTGGGAGAGGAGCATTCAAGAATGTGTATGCTTCCTAGACCATCTTCTGTTTCTTTGCTTATAGGCTATTTAATTGTTGCATTTTAGAATTGTTTAATCCAACAAGTGTGAGTATTCATCTGCCTGTCAAAATTTACTTCTGCTTGCTCTCTTTTGTAGCTACAAGGGGTTTGATGAAATTGATGGAATAGAAGTTGCTTGGAACCAAGTGAGCATTGATGATGTACTGCAATCACCTGAACATTTGGAGAGGTTATATTCTGAGGTTTACCTGTTAAGGACCCTGAAACACGAAAACATCATAAGGTCATATGCCTCTTGGATGGATGACAAGAACAAAACTATGAACATGATAACTGAGTTGTTCACCTCAGGAAGTTTGAGGCAGTAAGTGTTGTCTCATTGTATTGGTTCCTATTCTATTTGAGTTGTCCACATTTGCGTGGTTTTTACTCTCTCTTGCTAAGAAAATGTTTTTTATTTTATTTTTTTCCTTCTGAATTAGGTACCGGAAGAAGCATAAGAACGTTGATTTAAAGGCTATTAAGAACTGGGCTAGGCAGATCCTTCGAGGTTTACATTATCTGCACACTCACAGTCCGCCTATTATTCATAGAGATTTAAAATGTGACAATATCTTTGTTAATGGGAATCATGGAGAAGTTAAAATTGGAGATCTTGGATTGGCCACAATAATGCAGCAAGCTACTGCCCGAAGTGTTATTGGTAATTGTCTATCTTAGTAGAGAGACTATGCCACTTTATTTAGCTCATGTATGCTTTGGATAAAAAACAGATTTTTAGTATATTTTGATAAAAGTTGATAAAATGTGGGGTTGAAAAGTTGATAAAATTGTTGGTCCAATGAAATGTGTGGTTGAAAATGAGTTTGAAGAAAAAATGAGTACTAGAAAATGGAGACCAAAGAGGGGCTTAGCTCTCGTCTCTAAAGTTGTCAGCTCTTTTGATTTTCTCACAGGTACTCCCGAGTTCATGGCTCCTGAACTTTATGAAGACGAATATAATGAGCTGGTCGACGTTTATTCTTTCGGAATGTGTATGTTAGAGTTGGTTACGTGTGAATACCCGTATGGTGAATGCAAAAATCAAGCACAAATATACAAGAAGGTCACTTCAGTAAGTTCATTGACCACCTGCTATACTCTTGCCATGTAGAAAAATCTTAGTATGCACCTTCTACATCCAATAGAAGTGTTGATTCTTATTTATCATAATAATTTATTTACTGCAGAGCATAAAACCTGCTGCTATGAATAAAGTTCAGTACCCTGAAGTGAAGCAGTTCATAGAAAAATGTTTGGTTCCAGCATCTCAGAGGTTGAGTGCTATGGAGCTCTTGAAAGAACCATTCCTGGCCGAGGATCCAAAGGATTTAATGTGTGATCGTCTGCAGCTAGCTGATTTTACACCTAAGTCAACAATCTCGCCAAAATCTGATTCGCCTTTCATGGACCTGGACCCTAATTACAAAATGCTATCAGCTGGCACTTGTGCACAGAGTATGTTTGGAACTTTTTCTACTGTAGAACTCCAGAGATACAGTGAGAGAAATGAATTTACCATAAAAGGGGAAAAGTTTGATGATGATACAATATCTTTAACTTTGCGGATCGCTGACTTGTCTGGTATGTAATTCGCCATACAGCTGAAGATCTCTTGCTAAATATTCTGACTGACTGTAATCTTCCCTCTTTCTAATATAATATAGTTATCGAAATATTTCTAGCAGGTCGGGTGAGGAATGTTCACTTCATATTTTACCTTAATGCTGATACGGCACTTTCAATTGCTGCTGAGATGGTAGAACAACTTGATTTGTGGAGTGAAGATATTGCTTTTATAGCCGAGTTAATTGACTGCTTAATTTTAAGACTTGTACCCACCTGGAAAACTTCTGGAAGTTTGGGTGGAGCTCAGAGTTCTTACGCGGTTTCTGCTGTGCTTCAGAGTAATCGGGTATTAGCACCCCATGCCAAAGACAATGGATCAAATATCTTTCCTGGCAGACAGGCTAGTGAGATGGCGGTTTCTTCACAGTTCTCCGGATCAAAAGTCAATGATACTAGAGAATCAGTCGGTGCATCTTCCAAACACGTCGTATCAACCTCAGATTCCAAAGATAAGATTGATTTGAGATCAGCTTATGACATTGACAAGCACAAGGTTAGCATTGGCGAGTCTTTAATGATTGAATATACGAATAATTCAGGGACCTCCTTCACGGGTTCATGGAATGGTGTATCTAATGATATGTGCATAAGCATATCTTCTTTGTCACTGACTGAAAAAGACGACGACAAAGAACACTGCTATGACCTGAAGCTAGAGCTTGATGCAATTGATTTGCAGTATCAGCAGCGTTGCCGAGAGCTTCTGAGGATGAGGGAGGAGGCAATTGAAAACGTCAAAAAGAGGTGGATCTCGAAGAATTTGTCTATTGTTTAACGTAATAATTTTTCCTTGCTTTCTCTTTTTCAATCGATTTCTTTGCTCCGTTGGAGAAAGTTTACTTTTGTTTACAACTACACCTCCAGATATACAGGATGTTATATGAACTTTTATCATGGTTGCAAGTTTATTATCAATTGCTGGTGACATTCTCTTAGCAATGTTATCAAGGTTTTTTTAGGGTTCTTTCAGATTGTAAAAATTGAGTATTGCTCTCAATAATTGTTATTTGCATTTCATAAAGCAGGCAAAGTTGCAGCTTGTGTAGTAGTTTGCAATTTATAGTAAAAATTTACCATTATCTAACCCTTCGAAAGTTGCAAATTGGGTCCTTGCTGCTGCACGAGTGATAGCTCATGCTTAAAACTCCTGACACGAGTTATAGTCTTCGAGCTGCTGTCCATGGACCAGGCTTTGCATGCGCAATTTGCACTTCAGATTGGTTTCGTTCCAACACCTATTAAACGGACTCAACTTTACCTTTCTCTAATACCTGGTTTAGTCTAATTTGACAATATGGGATATTTGGACATTTGATGTTCCCCAAGCCCATCATATTGCATTTGGATATTGGATGTTCCCCTACCCCCAACAAATTGCACGACAGAATGCTCTGCGGGATTCTGAGTCCCAAGAAAGTAAACTGTTTCATAACATCATGCATTGTGAATCGAAGTTTAACAAAAATAAGCATTTCATTCACATTCTACTCGCTCACAATCTCAATGGTTTGAAAAATGTGCATGCATTTGAAACATGAAATCCAGTGAGATGATGTATGTAGATGCATTCTCTAGACAAAACCAGAACCTGAATTCCGACTGAAGCATATCCGCTGAAATGCCTAGACTGTGATATCAAAATAGGCAATAAGGCATTTCACGTGTCTGAGTTCAAGAACACCTTTTTGTAGATAAATCATTGATTATGAGTCAAGCTTCCTTGTTTGGGCAAATACCAAGATGATCACATCAGTTGAAATATCAAGTATAGACACAAGCATAACGATTTATTAAGCTGTCTAAGAAATGAGACAATATTACCAACAGAAAATGGGAGCAATAACATAACCAATGACTACGTTAGTGATGGGTTTTCTTCATTAGGCAGATACGAAATTGCAGTTACATCTAATCTTATCCAGATGTCTGGAGCTACTTCAGTAGATCTATGCGCTCGCTTGACACAAGATTATCCTTGCCTCATATCATTACACGCCCCCGGTCAACTGCTCCACAAGGGAAGATCCAATGGCATAATAAAAGGTTGGATAAAGGAGTACAACCCATAAATAGTCACAATATTAACCTCAACAATCACACAGTTGTTTACTTTTCCTCCACCTTATTGAGGGATTTTGGAATTGGTACCTCATTTTCACCAGAAGAATGCGTTTTCACTAACTTTACCATATATACAAATCAAGTTTGGCTACCTTAAACCATGTCCATCATATACTCTGCATGACAGTTCACAAAAATCAACATACTTCCATGTTTTTTCTGTTTTCTTTTTGGGTCAGTCTTTCAGTTGGAAGGGAAATCGAGGGAGTGGCTCAACAAAATCTATGTTTTAATCTTATCAAAACATATTAGGGCCCTGTTTGAGCACCTTTTTGTAGAATAATAATGAAAAATATAGCCGTTATTGGAGCCCACACAAGAGATAGAAAATTTGAATTTAAATGTTAATGTGATGGATAACGGTCATATTTTTCATTTTAATGAGATTAAAAGGTGACCCAAACGGGGTCTAGGTGTGTAATGTGGGACGAGCCGCTCACCAAATCGGCTTGTTCCACAAGCAAGCTGCAAGTGGGAGCCGAGCTCCACTTTTATGCAGCAAGTCAACTAGTGGCTTGACTCACACACTAGTGTGAGCTGGCTCGTGTGGTGGGCTGAGTTGAGTCCAACTGCAGGCGAGCCAAGTGACTCGGCTTCGTCCATTTAACACCCTTGATACACATATACCCTAATCAAAAGCCTAAAGGAATTAACAGAGAGGAGATCATTAATCATTCCATTGTCACTATTGACTCATCCCAAACCATGCTGTACTTTTCCTTGGTTATTAATTCTTTTAAGACATATTTCCTCAAAAGTACGAAAAAATGCATCCATGCATAGTTGCATTCTCTATATCCATACTTTAACTCGAGCAAATCTAAGCATACATGTTAAAGTTAAGCGGCTATAAACAGATAGATAAGATGTTTTCCTAGGTAATAGCCACTAAAGTTAAAGAACAATCATTTGCAGATAAGCAATATGAACGTTGAAGGACAAGACAAAACATAACGGATTTTGAAGCTGTTCAAAATTAGTGTGATGTGCAATATCCTAAAGGGATAAAATACTAAATCATCATGGCAAATCAGAAACGGCAATGCCATTGATTACATGATCTTTTTCACCAGTCATTGAGTATTGGGGTTCTTGAAAATCACTCTCTAAATGGATATCTAGTTATAGATGCAACCATAACTTTCTCCTACAGGTTCACAATATAAAAATCTCCTACTTAATATCTTAATGCATGAAATTTCACTCTACTTTATTAGCAGAAATCATGCTTATAGTTTACGTTACCCATATCATTCATACTTTCAAAGTTTTAACAAAAATATACGCACTACCAATACGATTCATAGTTTTATGCAATACATACAATCATGGTTCGGAAATTTTTGGATATCAAACACACAATCGGTTATTGATATTCAAATAATTTCACCTATTATAATTACTTACAGTTACAACTATGCACCGTTTGATCTAACTAAGGTTTTCAGGGCAAGGCGAATTTCATGACCTAAGAGGGATGGATGAAATTCAATAAGAAGGATAACAAACTCAATGAAGCCATGACATGGGAAGGAACCAGCCATTATTAGACAGTAAACAGCAAAGAATTTATCAATGCAACTTTGTCACCATCACCATATTCCAGGAATCAAAGAACTCAGATAGAAGTAACATTGCTAAAAATACATTTCATGTGATTAATATCACTGGATAAGCACTCAAGTATCAAAGGAAAATAGAAATTTATTCACAAATTCCACAATCTTGAACAAGATTTTACACCGTAAAATAGCACATATGAACAAGGACAAACAATGAATGGACATTTTGAATTAATCGCAATGTCTTTGACATCATTACATATGAGCATCCACAGACTTACACCAAGATAAAGACGGCAAACAAAAGACTTTACCGTTGACTACCAGTTGTCCTTGACAATTTTTGACTTCTCCAGAATAAATTTTCCTTCCTTATACTTTTGTGTATCCTCGTAAGCCCTCTCATACTTCCAGCCCAATACCTCACGACAGTCATAGCAATATACATCAGCAACTGTATGGAGACCAGTCATAAGCTGTCTATCTTCTTTAGGCCCCACAGCAATGTTCATTGCATGGGAGAACAGAAATGCTCGACCATTTCTTCCCTAGCGTCAAATAACAAATATTTGTTGGTAAGATTATCTACCAAATGGCTATCAGCACTGTTAAGCTCACAACAAAAAAATAAGGACAATTCTGCAAGTACCAGACCGAGGCCTTACAGGCCTCTCACATGTGGGGCGGACCCCACATGTGTTAAAAAAAAAAAATTGCCTGACCCCACCTGATGTGTCTGCCCAGGCAGTACCCTGTAAAAAATGCTCCTGTACTCCAATCACGACCCAAAAAATAAATAAACCACAAAATAAAACAAGATGTATTTCCAATCACTTTTCCATTTTCCCTATTCTATCAGCTGTTAGAGTTCCTTTGCAGCATTTCTTTAGAACTTAGTTACTGGCGGTTAATTCAATATATTTTGGGACTGGCGGTAATTGGGGACCTGGTTACCTGTTTTCCCCCAGGGCTCTTGAGGGAGGGAGGGAGGGATGGAGAGAGAGAGAGAGACTAAGTTCACCTTTGTCAGCAATTATGTTCCCTCAGTTTTTTCTCCATAGATTTTTACAGTTTTATCAGTTAGTTCCAACATTATTTACAAGAGAAGCAGAGAAAGCAATGAAAGTTTTTAATTCTGTCCAATGCTCCTGGATTCTAATATAAACCAACATTCTGACGATAATGTACCTGACTTTGCAAGAAATCCAATCAGAAATGAACAAATAAAAAAGGTGAAAAAACTCAAATTTCAATTCCCTGATTTCTTGAGACTTCTGATGAAAATTGGTAAACCAAAAAACATTCTAGCATTGCAGAACAAATTTTGTCAAGAAAAAGAATGGATGTGTAGGCTCCCACCTGAAATGCTTTAGAAATTACATCATCATGAAGTGCAACATGATTTCTACAATTGCAGCAACTGTACAATCTTGGACCAATCACCTCAGCCATTTGATGACCAATATTAACACCACTTCACTACAAGCTGATTGAAACCAAGATCACTTCATGTCACAAGATCTTGAAGTTCTATCACTATATCAACAGAAAATTGGTAAAAAAAAAAAAAGCTTGTACCTTTATTGCCAAGACTCAAGAAAGTCAATGTGATGTTATCTTCTTAGCCTTTATACTCTAACCAAAAATCTGCTTTCCACAAGGTAGAAGGGAAAGAAACCTTCAAGAATTATGATTTCTATTTTTTTTTTTCGAAAATAAAAAAAACAGAAATAATAGGAGAAAAAATCACAACCCAGATAAGAAAAAAATACAACTCAATTGAATCCAGTAACCCACAAACAGAAAGCACCAAACGACTCACCGGGGGCGTGGTTTCTTTCTGGTTACAGTTCCAAGAGTCTGAGAGAGAGAGAGAGAGGGATAAAAACTTCAAAAGGACGTGAATTCAGTGGGGGTGGGGTGGATGAGGGTATGGGGAAGTAATGAAGTATAACGTGGACTAGTGAGTCGGAGTTCGGTTGAGTATGATTGGTAGAAGACAAGAGTTGCCGCGGAAGTATCAAGAAAATATCGTTGTTGTACCATATTACGAATTTTACGATTCATTCCGACGTCTGGATTCATACTCTCAACTAAGGTTTCAAAACTTTAGTTTCTTTCCCTTTGGGCCCACTAGGCGGGCCTTAATTTGTGAGATCAACCTATTTGACGGGAGATTTTGCAAAATGACCTATGAATAGTGGCTTTTTAAGATTTTTGTTAAAAAGTCAGTTTTACCCTTAATGAAATGGGTCATTTATTGCAGATCAAGTCCTCAATCCTTATAA